ATCCTTTAAACCTTAATTCTACTTCAGACTTTATATTAATGAACTAAAATCATTCATACTGTTTAAAGAAACTTTGGATATCATGGAGCTGATTGTAAAACATATTTTGGAAGGTGCTAGTACTTGTATATTGTCCCAGAAATTACCCAATAATGATTATCATTCTTTTCCTGCACTTAAGATCCACTCTGGTTTCAGATTCTTGAGAAAAATCCACATTTAAAGCTTTATTTCTGGATATACTTTCTATTTTATTTCTAAGCTGTTAAAATATAGGCGTCTTTTTCAGATTACTGACAAAAGCTATTTTTTCCTTCTCCATTTTACATAGACTCTTATTTCTTCCAACCACAAAGACTACAGATTGTATTCACTTAAAATTTCAGTAAATTTTCATTTTTTTTAAATTTTAATTTTATTGGAGTATGGTTGATTTGGGCATCCCTGGTAACTCAGGTGGTAGAGAATCTGCCGGCAATGCAGGAGACCCAGGTTCAATCTTCCTGGGTCAGGAAGATCCCATGGAGAAGGAAATGGCAACCCACTCCAGTATTCTTACCTGGACAACTCCATGGACAGAGAAGCCTGGTGGGCTACAGTCCACGGGGTCGCAAAAAGCTGGACATGACTGAGTGACTAACATATACACACGGCTGATTTACAATGTTGTGTGTTTGTCTTCAATATATAAAATAATGCATTACTTGAGACATTTCAAATGGGATTAATTTTTTTTCCTTCTGCCACAAGTTCTCATTTCTTCTTTAAGTAGCCTAGAAATAAAAACCTAACTTTTTAGTAGTTGGGCTTTCCTGATTGCTCAGATGGTGAAGAGTATGCCTGCAATACAGGAGACGTGGGTTTGATTCCTGGGTCAGGAAGATCCCCTGGAGAAGGGAATGGTTACCCACTCTCATATTCTTGCCTGGAGAATTCCATGGACAGAGGAGCCTGGTGGGCTTCAGGGATCGCAAAGAGTCAGACACAACTGAGCAGCTTTGTAGTAATGTCAACTATGAATTGGCACATGCCAAAAGCATGGCCAGCAACTGAACAACAAGTGCATTCGCCATCTGCCTCCATGGGGACGGAGCCCTGCGCTGCTGCGGCTGATGATCTTGAACACCCCCCGAGGGAGTCCAGGGTGGAGTGAGGCATGCTGTGCTCCATGGATCTGGTGGGACAGGTCTTTAGATAGTTGGAAATTTTCAGGAACAGACTTTATGGTTCTAATCCTTGCATCTCCTCTTATCTAGAAAGGCACTAAATCCCTTCATGATGACGTCAGATCCTCATGACTAGCAGAAAACCTCTTGTAAAGTAAACACTTGATTGCATTGAAGTCCCCCTTCACTGAAATCTTATATATTGACCTTCCTCCATGGCATCTTTGGAGCAGTCTCTCAGAGCTATCTGGTGCTGCTTCCCAGGCAAAGTTGGACTATAAAAAAAGCTGAGTGCTGAAGAATTGATGCTTTTGAACTGTGGTGCTGGAAAAGACTCTTGAGAGTCCCTTGAACTGCATGGAGAACCAACGACTCCATCCTAAATGAAATCAGTCCTGAATATTCATTGTAAGGACTAATGCTGAAGCTGAAACTCCAATACTTTGGCCCCCTGATGTGAGGAACTGACTCATTTGAAAAGACCCTGATGCTGGGAAAGATTGAANAAGGACTAATGCTGAAGCTGAAACTCCAATACTTTGGCCCCCTGATGTGAGGAACTGACTCATTTGAAAAGACCCTGATGCTGGGAAAGATTGAAGGTGGGAGGAAGAGGGGACAACAGAGGATGAGATGGTTGGTTGGCATCACCAAGTCAGTGTACATGATTTTGGTTAATCTTTGGGAGTTGTTGATGGACAGGGGGGCCTGGCGTGCTGTGGTCCATGGGGTCGCAGAGTCTGACATGACTGAGTAACTGAACCGATCCTTAAATCCTCAAAATTTTTCTTAAATCTAATCATATTTATATAGCAAGTTAATAATGATTATTGTGGCAGCTACCATGTTACAGACTTCTGTGGAAATTTGTTATAGAGAGATGTAATTAGGAATAGTTTTTAAAAATATCACCCAAATAGTTCACACGTCAATTTATTCAGTTAGATTGAAGTGGGTTTGTTCAGTACTGAAACATTTAACATCAGATAGCAAAGTGTAAGTTTTGAGGGGGAGAGGGGAGATTTTTTTTCATTTTATAAGTTTTGGAGTTCAAAAAAATTTTTTTTAAATTCCATTTCTTTATTGTTACCTCCCTTTGAGCTACTTTTAGTGTTTGAAAAATAACTTGGTAAGGCCTGCAGAGGTAAGAGAGATTCTGAGGCTCTATCTCCAGCTCAATGAGGAGGAGTCACATGACACTAACTGTTGCAACTAGTACAGGGTGAAAGTGACCAACAAGTATGGTTTACTTCCCCTCTCTCGTTTAGATTACTTGGTACCCAGAGTCTCATGAGAGCAGACCATTGTTAGGCAGGGCTGTAGATACTTGGTTATTGGTTCTAAATGAATCTACTTCTGTTGCAGTTAAAAGAACATACATAACTGAATACAGAAGGGTATTACCAGTACAGACCTTATATAACTAGATGGAATTCCCTTGGTATACTTACTGTTTGGGTGGTCTGGGTGTTAGCCTTGTAGACTCAGAAATGCAATTGTTACTGTGCATACATATTGAACTCTAGGGAACAGAGTGGTATTGCAAAAAAAAAAAAAAAATTGCAACAAACTAATAAAAATAACAATAAGTTTATTAACTTTATTATAATAGCAATGTTATAATAGGAACAGGAAGAATAATCATCATATATACTAGATACTTGTGTTTATGGATGACTAACTGGCTTCCCTGGTGGCTGAAATGGTAAAGGATGTGAAATTTACTCAGTCATGTCTGACTCTTTGCAACCCCATGGGCTGTATAGTCCATGGAATTCTGCAGGCCACAATACTGGAGTGGGTAGCCTTTACCTGCTCCAGGAAGTCTTCCCAACCCAGGGATTGAACCCAGGTCTCTTGTATCACAGGCGGATTCTTTACCAACTGAGCCACAAGGGAAGCCCAAGAATACTGGAGTAGGTAACCTATCCCTTCTCCAGTGGATCTTCCCAACCCAGGAATCGAACCTGTGTCTCCTGCATTGCAGGCAAATTCTTTACCAACTGAGCTATCAGGGAAGCCCCAAATGGTAAAGAAACCACCTTAAATGCAAGAGACCTGGGTTCCACCCCTGGGTCTGGGTCGGGAAGATCTCCTGGAGAAGGGAATGGCAATCCACTCCCATATTCTTGCCTGGAGAGTTGTATAAACAGAGGAGCCTGGTGGCCTATAGTCCATGGAATCGCAAAAAGTCAGACATGACTGAGCGACTTTCACTTTCTTTTCACTTCTTTCAACTGGATAAATATCTACTCATAGAGTTAACAGGAAAGGAAGGTTTTCTGTCTGGACCTAAACTCTAGGTAGAGAAAAAAAGAGGACTTCTCTAGGAAGTTAAGCATAAACATACCCTCATGTGGATTTGAGGTTATGTTGGCAGGATAGTCTGGGAACCCCCACACACCCCCCAAGCCAAGAAAATAAGAAACAAAGTAGCTCCTAAACTACTTGGTAAATCCAAGCATGAAACACTCTGAACAGCTCTACCAGCTCAGACTACACAGGATTTCCTCAGTAAGTCCTGAACTCACAATCTAGGATTACAAAATACACAAGGAAATCGTTTATTAAGAGAAGAGTCAAGACCAGGCTTATAAATGCAAGGAATTCAAATGATAGATTTATCAGATAGAGACTATAAAATAAATATGTACAAATGATTAATAACTCAAATCTCTGTACCTAAGGTATTATATACAAGCCATACAAAGAAATATGCTTATGAAATTAAAATTCATGGAGAATTGAACATTAAATTAGACACAGTGAAACGAGAAAAGGTTAACTGGATCTTGTGAAGAACGTGAAGGAATTATTCAGAATGTAGAACAGGAGATATATAAATTTGTAAAAATATGAAGGAAAGAGGTAATTCAATGTAATTTGATATGATTTTCTAGCGAAAAGAATAGAGAAAATAACAAAGAGGCTATCAAAGGCACAGTGGCTGATGATTTTTCAGAACTACTGAAACACGTGAGTCTCCAGACTCAGGAAAATTCAAGAAGTCTGAAGCCAGATAAATTAAAAGAAATACACACTTAGACATGTTGTAGTAAGATTGCTCAAAACCAGCCATAAGGAGATCTTAACAACAACCAGAAATGAGATAAATTACAAAAGAGCAGTACTAAGCCAACAGTGGGCTACTATTTCAAAGCACTGAGGTGAATTAACTAACAACTAGAATAAACTACCCAGCTAAACTATCATTTAAGTATGAGACTGAAATAAAGACATTTTCAGTGCCTGGGAGAATTTGCTATTAAAAGAGCTTCACTGAATGAACTTCTAAAGGATAATCCCTAATAAGTGAATTTTAACACAGAGGAAGAGATGAAATGCAAGGGAAAAAACGTTTGGTGAGAGGAGCATTAAAAAATAAATAAATGTTTCCTCATCTTATTTCCTTTTTGTGGATGTGGAGAATACATAGGATTTACTTTCATTACAAACATTTTCCCAACGTCTGTATATAGCGGAGCTGAGTGTGACTTTGTATTTTAAAGATTTTAAAATACTTCTTAAAAGGGAAGATTTTATTGTTAATGATTCACAAAACAAAAGATTAATTGTGACTATTTCCAAATTGTAAGTTAATCATTGGTTTGGGTTTTTCCTTATGATTTTCAGTATGTTCTAGTTTTATAAATAAAGATATTACAGTATTTTAGTTGGGAATAAACTATTTTTATAAAGATATGTAACAGTAATTCCTCTTCATTTAGATCAAATCCTTTTTATGAACCTAAACCAACTCCTCCTCCAAACAATTTGCTAAGTCCAGTTCAAGAACTGGAAACTGAAAGGCGAGTAAAAAGAAAAGCTCCAGCCCCACCAGCCATCTCACCAAAGACAGGAGGAGTAAATGAAAACACAGGTGTTTCTGCAGGAAGAGATCTCTCCACTTCTCCTAAGGTAGGAGTTTAATCTTATTGAAATATGTATTAATGTTGGCTTATTTTCAAATTAAGAAAAGTCATGGTTAGCTATTAATATTTTGATGATTTAAAAGCAAAATAAAAGTAAATCCATTATACTGCAACATTGTATATATATTTGGAAGTCTATAAATTTATAGTACATTATAGATTGGATTGTCTGGGTTAAGATTTGCTTTTTAAATGCTATTTTGAAATCAGAGGGAGAAAAGCAGTATAATTGTAGGATTGGTGCTTTGCAAGAAGGATATATTCTAAAGCAGCTAGTCATGATAGATAGCTTACTCTAATACAGAGGAAAGAATAGAAATCATAGTTTTGAGAAATGTACAAGAAAGATTGACACCCAGTGCAGAGAAATACTTTGCTGAAGAATTTCAATATTGTCCCTTTGATTTATGTCAGATTACAATTGTGGCCTTATTGTCATTCTTTTTTAGAAATGTTAATGGATAATAACTTCATGGAAAGGTAAAGTGCAGTCTTAGAACAAAGTCTAAAGCTTCTAAATGGTTTGACTGCAAATAGTATATCTTTCATCTTAAAGGTAGATATGTTGGATTTAGCAAGTTTTTTAAGGTAAATAACTCATGACAGTACTCATGAGTGTTTTGTTGTTGTTACCATATGACATTATTTAATTCTCACAGGTAGTTAGGGGGGAAAAGAGATGAACTTGAATTCAGAAGGATAAAGGTCACAGGTCCCCCAGCCAACAGACAGGATTGGAACTGGCATATTCATTAATTACGTGCTCTCTGGACCATATTCCATCTCAGATGCCTGGGCTGCTGCTTTTCTCAAGGGCATCAAGTTTCAGTAGTTCCTGTTGTATTTTATAGTTCTTTCTGTGCCTTTCATTAAATGCCAGAGTTCTGAAATAGTTTGTTTGCTTTTATTTTCGTTGTTTGAGGGGGAGTGAGTTCACTGAGGTCTTCACTCTGCCATTCTATAAGTCAGTCTCCAGGTGTGTGTTTTTATATCAGGTGTGTTTAACTGTGTATAACTTTAGGAGGAGAAACTAGGACTACATTCTGTCTTGCTATTGGCTAGGGAAGTTGGGAGTGGAGTCTAAATGAAGGCAATAGAAAATAGAAATATAAAGCAAAAGAGATGGTCAATTCCTATACCCATGAGAGCAAAAATAAAGGCAGCAATTGAGGCACTGGTCAAAATAAAAAAGCTGTTTAGATTCTTTATCCTTTCTAACCATCAAGAATACCTACAACTGTCCTGTTTCCCTGAATCTCTGTTCTTGTTGCCTACTCTCTCCCTGTCCCCCTTCTGTAGGCCGTTGAAGTTTGAAGCTAATCACAAAATCCTAATCTCTTCATAGGTGAATGGAAAGGAATTTAACAGTACCTTATTGTGTGCCAGGCAATGTTCTATAACTTCATTTGATCCACAAAACAACCTGAGAAGTAAATACCATTATTTCCTTTTTACACTGAGAAACTGAACCTTAGTTAAGTAACTTGCTCAAAGTGATAAAACTGGTATTGACAGTGCCAGGATTAAAATTCATGTTTTTTGAGTCTAAAACTCACGTTTCCCATTGTGCCTTTCTATCTCTAGAGAGGTATTTCCAGTTTCAACTTAGAACTCTAAATACATTTCTCCATAGAAATATTGTTACTCATGGTGATTGAATTCTATTGTAGTGAAGTATAACATAGCTATTTTTTATGTTGTTTTGAAGGTAGTGTTCCATTGTAGACATATTGTGGAATAAATGATCTTTATGGGGAAAACTGAGCATTTTACCACCATGCTTCTCTTGGAAAATGCCTCCTCATGTTCAGATACACAATCAGTTGTATTCACAGTAACCTTCTGCTGATCTGGAAGTTAGTTTGGATAACTCAACTGTGTGAAATACAACTATGAAAGATTAATTTTTAAAAAGATTGTTGATATTATTATTAAGTGAGAAAAAACAAAGTGTATAACTGTATAGTATGATAACTTTTGTATGTATAAAGTTTTATTTAAAAGGCTTTATTCACACACATATATACACGTAGACAGACATGCATGCTCCTATACATTATGGAAGGACTCACAAGTAACTTTGAGGAGAAAGATCTTGAGGGGATGGTGGGTATGTACAAGATTGAAGGAGGCATTTCTTTTCCTTTTTCCCCTTTCTATGTTGTTTAAATATTTGAATTTTATAAAATGTTTTTCTTCTCTCTTTGTTATACTCAGAGGCTATTGAGTAATGAGATCATGGATCTTTTTTATTGTTGCTTTTTGTACAAGATACCAGATGACATTTCCCCCCAAAATTCATCCCTCAAAATAGAGAAAGTTACTCTCAGGTTTGACCATCAGTATTAGCTTCGTGGTGGCCTGGGTTTCCATCAGACACCTCAGTGTTGTGCACTGGGAACCACGCATAGAGGCTTAAGAATAGAAAACTTGATCTTCTGTTCCGTTTCCATAGCACAAATCTTTTTATTTTGTATATTTATGTAAGATTTCATTTGGAAAAAAAAACTGAACCATTGCCCCCCCCAAAAAAAAAAAGGTAAGAAAGAAATTGGAAACCACTAACTGCACAGTTATATGTGAGATAAGGAAGAAGATTAGAATCAATGGCATATTGATGATAATCAAAAATGATAAATGATAGCTGAAAAAGAGCAGTGGCATGGGGCTTATTATAGGAATAGACTTGTTTGTGTGTGTGTGCATGTATGTGTGTGCATATCCAGGTAGTTCCTGAAGACTTTGTTTGCAGTACTAAAGCTTAGTAAAATAATGACCATTTTGACAACCTTGAGTCAAAATGAAAGAGTCTTGTTATGCTTCATATATAATGTTCTGTTTAGGAAAGCAGGACAGTGTGTTTTATATCAAAATATTTATACTAAAATTAGTGTTTTGATGCTTAAAACAATATGCTTCTTGGCCAATTATTTATTATATTTTCAAATTGAAAAGGAAGCAATAGTTCAAATAAGCACTTGGGAAAAGAAAACAGACTCAAAATTTAGTTGAATAATAAAAGAATATTTATACCAAATATCTATATTTTGTTTTGGATAACAAAATGATAAACTGCACTCAGTAGCAATTGACTGCAGAGGCTAATCACAGTCATAGAATGAGTGCTCAGCCAGATGATTACTTTCCTCCACCTGTAATCTGAAACTACTTATTTTTAAGAAAATTTATGAAAAAAAGCCAAGACCAGAATTTAAACAGATAATATGCATATACTTATATTGTAAATAAAATTCAAATTACCCACCTAAAGGCAGTTAAGAATCCCCCAGTGTCATAAATCTATATAAACTCCTCACTCCAGACCAATGATTTCTGCATTTATAAAATGAGAAAACTATAACACTTTTTAAGCCAACGTGGTAAAAAAGACCAATGTTTAGGGAAGTAACCTGACATTTAAAACACAAGCATCCAGTAAGATAAAATGATAAATTAGGCTCAATGGTGGCTGATCACCATTTACTGACTGAATTTAAGTTAATACGTATATAACTCTGAACTCCTAGATATGATTTATGCAGCTTAATATAAAATACAAGTCAGATAATAAGAGCTTAGGTACATAAATGACCTTGTTGCCAAATACATCACAAAGGTATTTTACTAAGCACTGTATACCTAATTCTGTAAAAATCACAATATAAATAGCTAATTGTCAGTGACAAAGAATTTTTAAAAATTCAACTTGCATTTATGATAACGTGGAGAAGCTGCCCCCCCCCCCGACCCACCTCTGCATGTTGGATGGTGAAATAAGCCTGATCATGTGGAGAAGGGCTCCCTCAAAAAGCCTGATTAGTCGAATTCCAGTGATTAGCAATGAAACACTGTCCACTTACTCCATCTCTGAAAGTGGAAATGTTATTCATATCTAAAGGCTCAGCTAAGTGACTCAAGCCTTCACTCATACTATTACCTCTTTCTCAAATGCTCTTATAGAGACCCAAGTTTTACACTTGTATGTTTTTGAGTACTTAAAATTTGCAGAAACTGTAAGAAGCCCAGGTTATACCGAAGTCAGAATTACATACAGCAGTCTGTTTGATTGATCCTTGCAGCAAATTCAAACCACAAAACAAACATGCTTTTCAGTTTTTATACATCAGTTCAGTTCAGTCCAGTCACTCAGTCGTGTCCGGCTCTGCGACCCAATGAATCGCAGCATGCCAGGCCTCCCTGTCCGTCACCAACTCCCGGAATTTACCCAAACTCATGTCCATCGAGTCAGTGATACCATCCAGCCATCTCATCCTCTGTTGTCCCCTTCTCCTCCTGTACCCAATCCCTCCCAGCATCAGGGTCTTTTCCAATGAGTCAACTCTTCACATGAGGTGGCCAAAGTATTGGAGTTTCAGCTTCAGCATCTGTCCTTCCAATGAACACCCAGGACTGATCTCCTTTAGGTTGGACTGGTTGGATCTCCTTGCAGTCCTAAGGACTCTCAAGAGTCTTCTTCAACACCACAGTTCAGAAGCATCAATTCTTCAGCACTCAGCTTTCTTCACAGTCCAACTCTCACATCAAACTATTAATTTCCTCATATGTAAGTTGAAAGTACCTTATAACTTCGAAGGAAAATCATTAAAAGGAATGAAGATCAAAATTTAATTGAATACAATGATAAATGTGTAGTTGTTTTGTAAAATAAAAAGCCAAACTGCATTCAACGATAGCTTGCAGAGGGCACAGTGGGGATAAGCTTAAGTTACTGGTAAAGTTTTTATTTACTGGAATACCTTACTTACCAGAATACCTTGTTCCTCAATAATGCAGAATAAACAAGGCACTGCTTTATGTATCACCTGGTCTGTTGGTTAATATTCTTTTGGTTATGACTAATAGAAGGAAGCCATTTTGTTAAATGTTTTTTTTTTCCCTTAAGAAAAAGGATAACTTGTTTAGAAAACACAAGGAAATTTTTGCAAAACCAAAGGGAAAAGATACAACTGGGACTGAGTTGTAAACATCAACTGTATTGCTTGTCTCTTTGGAATGCCTTCAATTTTCTCTTTACTTTTTTAATGATAAATTAATCTCCCTGCAAAATAGCTTATGTTCTGGAATTTCTTATCTCTCCAATACATAGCCACTCTTCTTTCAGTGTAGCTGACTTTAGCTAAAGCTTAAGAACAAATGACATTTGTTGACAAAATGACTACAGCAGCTATTTTTTCTTAATATGAATGAGGAGCCTCTCAGAATTGTCATTTACTAAACATAAAAATCTCCAGTTAGTGCAGTTTCAGTTGGAATTAGGATTATCTGCCAGCAGTAGAAACACTTGATGACAGTTTAAATAAAAGAAACATGTATTTCTGTTTTTACAAGTGTTGATGGTCTAGTGCTGACAGGGTAGCCTGAAAGGCATCAGGGACCCAGTCTCCTATTGTGCTAATCCACCATCCTCAGTATAAACTTCCAGCTGGTAGCCCAAGATGGCTGCTGGAACCATAGTTGATATGCCCATTCCAGTCAACAAGAAGAAAGGGGGAAAATAGCCACACCTGCCTCTAGCAAAGGAGACAGAAAAATGAATCTTTATTCTGGTCAATTGCATTACCCAGCTAAACCTCAAGGGTTCTATTACTAAGGAAGATAAGTAAAATGGATATTAGAGAACAGTTAGCAGGCTGTGCCATAGATAAAATATGAGTTTTATAGTGGAGATGCAAATGAACCCAAACCTTGGTGTCTCTTCTGTGAGAAAACATGAATGATGACCACTGAAAATAGTCATTCAGAATAACATTTGAAAATCAGGCAATGTAAACTTTAGAGGAAAATAATCAGAATATTTTGCCACTGAGCATAAAGAAGTCTAGAAACAGACTACAAAACAAAACAAAACAGTCTACAAAAACAAACAGAAACCACATACAGAAAACCCAGGCTATCAAAAGTTGAGTAGTATTTTCTTCAAAGTCAGTTTACTACATTTATGCAAGGTGGTCTGAAAAGATATTGTAGTTTTCAGACCATAGCATTATTGGCGAAGTTGTTGAGAAACTGTTTTTTTGATACCTACGATGTCAATTCTAAAATATATTTGGATACGTGCACTGCAGAGCCTTGACTAGAACATGGCAAGAGAGGCTTCTAGGACACTAAATATAAGAACTCACTTCTCATGTGGGTGGAAATGAAGACTGTATCTGCACCACCTTAAAAGTGAATGCCCATTATACAGAGTGAAGTAAGCCAGAAAGATAAAGACCAAGACAGTATACTAACACATATATATAGAATTTAGAAAGATGGTAATGATAACCCTATATGCAAAACAGAAAAAGAGACACAGATGTACAGAACAGGATTTTGGACTCTCTGGGAGAAGGCGAGGGTGGGATGTTTCGAGAGAACAGCATCGAAACATGTATATTATCTATAGTGAAACAGATCACCAGCCCAGGCTGGATGCATGAGACAAGTGCTCGGTCCTGGTGCACTGGGAAGATCCAGAGGAATCAGGTGGAGAGGGAGGTGGGAGAGGGGATCGGGATGGGGAATACTTGTAAATCCATGGCTGATTCATGTCAGTGTATGGCAAAAACCACTACAATATTGTAAAGTAATTAGCCTCCAACTAATAAAAATAAATGAAAAAAAAAAAAGTGAATGCCTCCTTATATCTTGTGCCCTAGGCACTCCTTGCCCAGTGTGTCTGACTCTTTGTGATGCTCTGATGGCATGACCATGACGTAGCCTGCCAGGCTCCTCTGTCCATGGGATTTCCCAGGCAAGAATACTGGAGTTAGTTGCCATTTCCTCCTCCAGGGGATCTTCCTGACCCAGGGATTGAACCCATGTTTCTTGCGTTGGCAGGTGGATTCTCCACCACCTAGCCACCTGGGAAGCCGGCCCTAGGCACTACCTTGCTTCAACTCTAATCTCAGCCCTCGTGCACAAATGGGGCAAATCTGACAAAGAAATTTATACTAACAGTAACCCACTTAAAAGACCTTTGCAGCCTAAACCAGAAACCACAGCACTGAAACCATCTCTAAGAATTTGCGTTTTGATTTTTTTCTGACTGTATTTAGTGGAAGAGGTAAAATGTTACATTTTGCTTATAGAAATAAACCATTACTAGAAAAGACCCTGATGCTGGGAGGGACTGGGGGCAGGAGGAGAAGGGGACAACAGAGGATGAGATGGCTGGATGGCATCACCGACTTGATGGACGTGAGTTTGAGTAAACTCCGGGAGTTGGTGATGGGCAGGGAGGCCTGACGTGCTGCGGTTCATGGGGTTGCAAAGAGTCGGACACGCCTGAGTGACTGAACTGAACTGAACTGAACTGAGGATGCTTGCATTTTGAAACAAATTTTGTAGAGCAATTAAGTGTAATTTTTTTAAAGGTTACTCTTTTATATCAGTATATTCTGGAGTAACTGAGTAGGTGCCTGTGATAGTTTTCCAGCTGAGAATTAAAAAAAAAAAATGCCACCATGTAGAAAAAGAACCTGAATAAGGTAAATAAATTATTTGAACACCTTAATGA